GATGTGGGCCTTGGAAAGGTGGGCTAGACTGCGGAGCTTCTTACCACCAGAACCCCCGAGGCTGCCAGCGTTCATAGACGCTTCGGGACAAGTGGTGGCCGCAGATCACGACCAGAAGGCGGAGGCTCTGGCTAAGAAGTTCTTCCCAAGCCCTCCAGCAAACCTCGCCGACGTCCAGGACCAAGATTTCCTCGACGACTGGGAACCGGGATTCGATATCGAGCAGAAGGTGACGCTGGCCGAAGTAGAGGAGGCGATAAGAAAGGCGGGCACCTGGAAGGCACCGGGTGAAGACCAGCTCCCCATGGGCCTCCTGAAAGCCTGCGGCAAGCCGCTAGCCAAGGTTCTTGGCATCCTGGCCACAAGATGTCTTGAGCTGGGTTGGTTTCCGAGCTGGTGCAAAAGAGCAAAGACCGTAGTGCTACCAAAGCCGGGAAAGGTCCCGCTAGTATATCAGACGCCGGGAGGCTACAGGCCCATTGCTCTGCAACCGACTTTAGGGAAGGTAATAGAGTCGGTAGTGGCTAAGAAGGTCACTCAAGCCCCGGAAACCAGCGGCTTACTTCCAGATGAACAGATGGGCAACAGGGCGGACCGGTCGACAGAGCTGGCAATCCGACTGGTAGTAGCGCAGACACAAGAAGCCTGGAGACAGAAAACTACAGCGTCGCTCCTCCAGCTGGACATCTCAGGCGCCTTTGACACGGTCAACCACGTCCGACTACTAGTTACCCTTCGAGAAATGCGCTTCCCGAGATGGCTCGTCCTATAGACGAAGAACTGGCTGACCGACCGGGAAGCCACCCTTCACTTCGACGGTCAGGCAGCTCGACCGACGGCGATACGGGCGGGGGTCCCCCAGGGCTCTCCTCTCTCCCCAGTCCCCTTCATTCTCTACATCGCCTCCCTGTACAAGCGGCTGGAAGAAGAGCACCCTCATCTAGCGATTGCAGGGTTTGCAGACGACACCAACCTTTTGGTATTTGGCCGGGAGCCAGAGGCCAATGTTCGACAGCTGGAGGCAGCGTGGGAGACGTGCCTGCAGTGGGCAGAAACCCGGGGGATGTCCTTTGGCCCGGAAAAGAGCGAGCTGATTCACTTCAACAGAGGGCGCAAACAGTGGACTGACCAGCTGGAACTTGCGCAGCCGGGAGGAGGCACCAGCCCGGTGAAGCCCATGGCAGCGGCCAGATTCCTAGGGGTCTGGCTGGACTGGAAACTCAACTGGAAGGCGCATCTAGGAGCGGTAGAGCGGAAGCTGAAAACACAGAGCTACGCTTTGTCAAGGGTTACGGCGAAAACATGGGGCCTGGACTAGCCAAAGCACGAGAGGTATACTCAAAGTGCATCCGGTCAGCGCTAGCGTACGGCGCATCATCCTTTCACACCCCTACCGAGAAGGAGGGTGAGCTAGAAACGAGAGGTATCACCAGGGTGCTTCGAAAAGTTCAAAACAAGACTCTACGGATAGTGGCAGGAGCCTTCAAGTCCACACCCACTCGGAACCTTGAAACGGAGACATGGGTGCCGCCACTGGACCTTTACTTCAACAAACGACTGGCTGACTTTGAGGCCCGGCTTCAAATGCCCACTCTGGCCGACGGCCGAGGCGGAAAGAAGACTGCAGGGAGTATTGTTCATGCGGCCTGCGGCAAGATATATCAGATACTCAACTCGAGGACTGATAACAGGGGCCGACCGCGAGCCTTTGGGCCGCAGGAGCCCACA